TGATCACTGCAAAGAAAAGGTATGCCTAGGAGCCACTAAGTATGAAAGCTGATTTCAAAGTAACTCTGTGAAAAGTTTCCATTTATCTTAGTTTAGTGTACTTTAACACAGAAAAAAGTATTCCTAATACAATAAGATGATAGAAAAATACTCTATTTATTTTATCCTGCCTGTACTGAATAGACAGGGACAGGAGTCACTGTTTTCATATGCTGTCATGCTGCTGCACGCCTTTACATTTCTGAATGCTGTGTTTTCTACACTACTGGAAGAAAATTCTCTTCAGAAGTAAACAGCATGAGTGATTAATGTATGAACTATGAAGATGCTTGCAAAACTTCTCTTTATATCAAAGGAAATATGGACTAAAATTCAAGGCATTTTTTTCACTGCAGTTTAGTAAAGCAGTGATTTAGATGTCTAGCACAGAAATGCACTAGACTGTGATAGATAAAAATCAAGAAAGATATTTTACAAAAAAAAAAAAAATTACCAATTATTGTGTGCTAACAAGCTCTTATAAACTTTCCCAGGAACAGCTGAAGTTTTTAAGCTCAGAGGCAAGGATCATCACAGCGATAGCTGACTTTTAACAAACTTTGATGTATTGATCCCAAACCCATCACTTTGGATTCTCCAACTAACTCAATTAGTCTAAAATCATGGGATGCCTTCAGTGTAAATGAAAGCTCAGGTGAACTGTATCTACTATTTTAGATGAACAAGGGTAGCTTTGTGAGAAAGGTAATAGTGGAAATAAATCATACAGTTAGAGCAAATCCTAATTTTGTTTACTGCTATGACCATTATAATCCTTACCACTATGAGAATTTGAATCTACAATAATCAAAACACTCTGAGAAGGCTCTTAGATAACCAGGAGGAGAGGAAACCAATCTGTCCATCCAGATGGATATGGGAGCACTGAAAAATAATCCAGCATGCCACAGCACTAGGCAATAAGCTGAGGCAGTAAAAAGCCATCACCATACATCACCTGATCATGGTAGGGCGTCATCTCCCGGCCTCTATCAGCTCCTGTGCATCAGCGCCAATCCCAGGCACTTCATCCTGTTTGTAATTGCTGATGAGCTGCAATAAGGCCCCCATGCCTCAGCTCCCCTCCGTTCCACTTCAGCACCCACCTATTAGGTTGTAACTTTTATTTACAGCCTTGCCTGATGTGCTGCTCTATTAGTACAGCTGGAAACTGAGCAGAGGGAGGGGGAAGAGCGTCCCTAATGGGCACTATTATTGCTAGGGCTGGGTGATTTACTATGCTGCTCAAAGGCTGTTCTATCATCACTTTCCTGTCAGTGAGAGAGCTCCAAGAAGGCTGGATTTCAACACAATGCCCTCCAGAAGTCAAACACTAAAGAACACCTTAATAATCCCTTGAAACACCAATGAAAAACAGACCTCAAAGTTGGTTTAGTGCTATAAAGCCCCCTTCAGTAGTCTTTTGTGTATTTTTTGCTCAGGAACTTAACACTTTAGAGCAATTAAAAAAGGAAATCTAATTAGTGGTGTAGGAGGTCCTTTTGTCCTTACTCAACACATAAGGATTGATAAAAAAATTAATGATGATGATAAAAAAATGTAATGATTTCATGATTTTGGCTCAGGCTCAAAATCTGTGTACTTCTATTTCCACAACTTGACCTTCCTGTAACTCCTCAAAGGCTGTCCTCTCAATTGTGCAGGTTCAATCTCAAAGCATTTGGATTCCTGGCACTATTACAAGCAAGCACATATCTTAGTACAAGAACATCAATAAATTCAAAACTTCAAAAAGGACCATAGCCCTGTTTAACCACTTTACTCAAGCAGTGAAATAATTATTTCCATCTTCTAGACTCAAATTTTAGACTAGAAAACACACAAAGAGACAGATTATCATCTTGTACAATATAAACACCACCACACCAATCTATAACAGATATTCTCATAAAATGTGAGCTATCTACACACATAACTATACAAAATATTACAGATGCACATTTCTTATGAACTGCTACTTAGAAATAAAGTACTTAAAACCTCACCAACTTTATGGATATAATGTATGAATTGATTGTATCATTACCACATTTTATCTGCCTGTTTCTACCACCTTCTCTACTGCACAATTAAAAATTAACTGAGCACACTCACACAGTTCCATCAATTTTTTCCAGGTTTCTTTATGCTGCATGAAAATGTTATAAAATCTGACTGTTCAGAGTTGTGTAGTAAATCATCATTACAGTTGTACAGCAGGAAAACAAGAGTAATATGCTACTTGGTACTGTACTTTCCTAACATGGGCACCTGATATAAATGGGATGTGGATGCCCTGCAGACTAGAGCAAGCCTCCCAGTACCTGCCATCAATCATCACATTACCCAGCCATTAAGAAACAAATCAAAATACATAAGAAGCTATACACTGGGCCACACAGTCCCATCTTTCTTCCTACAAGATCTTCAGACTGCTGGTGCTCAGAAGCCTTCGAGGCATCATCCAAACTAATGATTGCAAGGCTTTATTCATTCTTTTCATTATAATCCTTGTCCTGTGGGTACAGTGGAATAGAAATACTTTTACCACAGTGATGATTCTGGCGAACAGGAGGAAAAACTCCACTATTGGTGTCACAGTACTATTTTTTATCAGAACAGCTCCTACAGCATACAGGCTGACAACTGCATTAGGTAAAACCTCTTTTTTCTCAACGAGAACTTTTCCTGTACCTTGGCAGATTTATTGTTTTGATCTTTCTTCAATTGTTACACTCATGCTGATAAAATATGAAAGGTTTGTCTCCTTTCTTAATATTCTGATGGAAACTTACATATAAGATAAGTAGGTCAAATTTCTAATTTTCTGTCTCAAATGCTGATTTAGGAAACTTTGGGGAAAAACTATGCTTGAAGGGTGAACAGAATTACACAGGTAAAATCCAACACAGCATTTTTTCTCCAAATCTCTTCCAAGTAGAAGAAGCATAGGATACTTACAGAAAATAGGCTTATAAACAATGTGTGGTGTTGACAAATACTGCTTGCATCATTTAAGTAGCTTCCTAGGAAGCTGAAGTGATTCTAGTATGGTTTTGGCTAGGATAGAGTTAATTTTCTTCACAGTAGATAATGGGGCTCTGTTTTGGTTTTGTGGTTAAACCCTGACAAATGTTTACCTACAGGTAAGCTGCTCATTCCTGAAGATGTCACAGCACTTCTGGGTAATATTTTGTAGCCAATGTTTTCATTTCAATTCCCATGGCAACACAGTAACTTATTTTAAAAATGAAAGTTTGCTGAAAATTCAAGATCTGGAGAAGAAAATGAATTCCTGGTACCAGTTTTATTCGTGTAAGGCACTATAAAGGTAATATTTAGATTACTGAGCAAATAATGTAGGAACCTCAGGGGAAATTGAGGTAATACAAAATCAGTAGATTTAGTTGACTGAAGATTAAAGTTGTGGTACCAAATTAAGGTCATCTCCTCATTTTCTTGAAAAACACACTAAACGAAAAACATACAAGTATGTACAGACCAAACAATAGCACAAACTGAAAATAAGAGAACTACTGAGCAAAGTTAGCCAAGACATTTTTCAATATGTCTTGTGGTTTCACCTGCTTTACTCTAAGGAGCTTTCACTGGTGCCATTTGACACTCCAAATAATGAACTTACATTTCTTTTTGCTAAGCAAAAGAAACACAAAAAATTTCTAATAGTACTCTCAGTTTACTGTATCTGTGGCACCATAGCAAGCTTTGAAATTACTCTGCCATGAAAACCAGCTAAACATTACAACATCTAATATATAAAGAAAATATGATTTAGTAATAGCATGAGTAAAGCAGATTAGTTTGCAAGGGATGTAGTGGCAAACATTCCATCTTGTTTAGATACACCTCCATGGCTATATAGAAAAGAAAATCCATTTTCCCTGTTTTGAAGAACTACCTTCCAGTTCCAAATCAGTTCTTTGGCAAACAACACTCACTGTCAGAGATTATCGTGTGTTACTTGAAGGGCTTGCACGTGCACCAAGGTAATGCAGCTTCTCTGTTACCTTCATTCACCGCAGAACCAGCCAACCTGTATGATCACACAACTGCTGCAAGCTAACAACACCCACCTATGGAATAGCTACAGTTCAGCTCAACAAACAGTAACTTGAAACACTTTTTGAAAGAATGACTTCAGAGGAAATTTCCCTTGAACTCCTTAAAGAGAAATGTCCCTTACTCCAACGGGAATACCCTTCCTTTCTGCCCATAAATGCAAATATAGGCAAGAATTATTTTGGAAACACAGACTGTAAGAACATTAACATTACCATTACCTACACACTCACCACTCCCCAGAAGACTATGGCTTCCAACAGTGGTCCTGGTGGAAAGGATCGTGTGAGTTCTCCTTAATCCACACAAAACCAAAGGCTGCAGAAGACCTGAGCCAATGCAGGTAACTTGGCTGCCTGACTGAATGAGCACATGCATGGCTCTTCAGGAGAGATGTGATGCAGAAGCAGTGACTTCAGCCTAGCCTAACATGTCACTACTAATACCAACTCTGTGAGACATTATCCATGTACATTCTGCATATAGAAATAGAGGCATTGAAAGGACCCAAAGCAGGTAAAATTTAGTCTCAATGCAAAGATTGGCTGTCTATACTGCATCTTCAGTCAGGGAAAGTTAATGTACTCAGAACAGTGTTCAACTCAATACTTTGCATTTCAAGGCCAGGATTTCCCGAACACTGTCACAATCAATAGGCTTAAACTGATTACTCCTGTATTTCTTGTTTTTACAAAGATTAACTGAAAACAGAGTGTATTTACAGAATTATGTTTAAAAGGATTCTCAGATGAACTATCTGCCATACTAATCCTTTTATATGTACATTTCTGTCAGCAAAGCAACAATATTTATTTTCATTTGGCATTTGCCAGGTATGGTTATTACCCTTTACTATTAAACTATAACTGCTAAACACATACCTGAGTCGCAAGATCTTTTGGTTGGTGTGGTTAATGAGGCATGAGCTGTACCTGTGCATGGCCCACCTGGAAACAGAGAAGATTGTATGTCTCAAAACACCACCTATATTTAACATTTACAACCACATCAAGATTATACTTAGCAACAAGGAGCACATATTGTTTTTGGAGAGCACATACTGAAGTAGCTCTACTCTCAGCACTTGTTTCCCACATGAATCTGCATGTTTTGTGGTACAAAAAAAGAGATAAAAAGTCAGGACAAAGTTACACTTTTGAAATATACTTTATAAATATTTCAAGAGGCATTTTCAGGAAAATATACACTGTAATTGCAATGCTAGAAATGTATTTAGTGACTCACAAGTAACACAAGGGACAAAGTGATCGCTTCTCTGATATCAAACCTTGCTACTGACTCCAGTGAGATAACAACTTTGCCTCTTATCTTGTTCTCATTATGTGTTCTAAGTGTGGCACAAACATATGCTAACAAGCTCTTTCCATATTTAAAGTTTTTTGGCTCTGGACTCTTGCCCACTCATCTGGTATCTGCTTGGTAGTAAATTGCTCTCTGCCTTTTTTCTTAATATGCATCATTGTTGAGTTCTCCAGAGATCTTGTTAAAATAGCAACCAATTGAGTGTACACAGTGACTTGCAGTAAAAATTATAAATAAAAATAAACTACAGGTAGGGAAACCAAGACAAATTGACAGTAGCATTACCAATGGTAATAACACATCATAGCTTTGAAAATTGGATATTATAAATGGGAAGATGCTAGAGAGCCTGAAATTGAGTTAGACCTACTAGAGTTTGGCTATCAAAATACCAATAATCAAGTTTGCACTAAACTGCTGGTGATATAGTAATGCTTGCTGGCAATACAACAGAGCTTAGTATAACAGGATAACCTTTAAGTCTTCATGCACTGAAAAATACTAAAAATACTTTCCCCTGCTTTTTTCCCCCCAGTCTTTGCATATCTGGAAAGCAGCACTGTGACTGTGGCAATGTTTTTACCTTTTTAAGTATTTTCAAACCTGGTCTGTTAGTAAACTGTTTCTTTGTGCTTCTCTCTGGGATGCTCTCCCTTGAATCTTTCCTTCATTTCTCCTTTTCACTAAGTTTCAGGTCTCAGACAACTTTGTCTACCCTGAAATACTCATAGCATTGTAATACTTAAAAAAAAAAAATTCTTCAGTTGAGGGGGAAAGATATGAGGAACTTTGGTGCATTTGATTTCAATGAAGTTCTCTTGGCAACAGTTTTATACTCTCAATTTTCCAGAGAAGGGCCAATAAACTTGTTTTTTGTTCTCCCAAGGAGTCCCTCCAGCAACACATACCATTTCCTACTTGTGCAATGGGTAATTTTTTAACAGGTGGTTATAATGGCCAAGAAGCCAGTTCTTGGCCTGCAGGCCAACACTGAGAGCACTCATCAGGGCTTGGCCTGAGGGTATGCAAAGCATGGGAAACTATCGAACCTGACATAAGAAACTGCTATTTGTGACAGGCAACAGCATAAGCAGCTGGCAGATGTTACAGACAGTTTCGCAAGGCACTGTTGGATTTTCCAGGCTGGTAAGGAGGGAGCTGGTAGAAACGGCAGAACTGCACAGGTAAGGGGAAGGGAGTCGTGGGAACCTCTCTGCAGGGTCAAGTCTGCATATGAGAAGAGACAAACTTGCTTTTGCAGTGAGGAAGATTGGGAGTCCTGGGGTGGGTCCTTTCCTAGCCAAAATTACAGCATCCTGGAGGGATGGATCAAGCATCCTGGTATCACCGAAGTTGTGCTGGCTTCAAGCCTGACAACACTGGCAAGCAACAACCTCTTCTCAACAACCAGAAATGTAAGTAAGTAAGCAGAAAAAATTTTTTACAACATAGTATTTTCAAATTTTTATTCTAGCCTAGAAAAAGTGATCTTGATCTATGTTAGTACTAGTATTGCAAAAGGCTCAAAAAATGCTTAGAGTAGGATTTGGTGCATTTGGGAAGAAAATCAGAATCCTAACTAAGTTTTCTAGTGAAACCTTCTGCATATTCAAAAACCTACAGAGCAGGTCTGTTAAGTCAGTCTCCACTTTCAGACACCAAGTATTTGGTTTCAATACAGAATGTGTGTAAGCAATAAATTCAACAGGGTACGGAATTTCAATGTACTGACTTTAGACGCAGCTGCCTCTTAAAATTCAGCAGCCCTTCTGTAAATAATTTTAGTTACATTCTCCCAGTTTTCACTGAATAGACAGTGAGAGGCATTGTCACTATGGACTAACAAATAAGACTAATCCCTTCAATTATTGTAAAGTAAATATTTACACTAGCTGATACTTTCAGCATCCAGCCAAATATAAGAAACTTTATTTCTCTCTCTCTAAAGTACAATAAGTTGGCATGCATTCTGCACTTCCCTTTGTCAGAGTTTTGCTGTTATTTATTCTTCCCTCATTAGGTATGGCTTTCATACAGCTTTGATTTGTATAGCACAGCACCAGAGTTTCAATAAAGAGTATCTGGGGATTTGCATGCATGTACACTAGTGCCTAATAACCAGTGAAGGCAGCACATACTTTGCAGCATTTCCTTCTGCTATTCCTTTTGTTCCACCATTAAAAATGTCATGCATAATTCAGTACTGTGGGCTTGACTGTGCAGTTCTGTGTGGAAGTCACTACGTGGCAGCTTTTGATATATATAACTGCTAATTCAGGCATCTTTGTAGTGTTTGAAATAGGACAGTATATTTCTCACAGCTTTGATAAAAATCATGTGTGTGAGAAAGAAAAGTCATAACAATAGAGCACCAGTCCATCTTGGCTATTCACAAAGGTAGGTTTATAAGTTCGCATGACTCAGGATATATCTGCATCTTCAGTGCAAAAAAAGTAAATTTTTCAAGGTTATTTAACTGTGCTACACAAAACACTTCAGTGCACAGTGAAAGGCCACATATGTCTAGTTTCTAACATAATACACAAGGTTGCAGAGCTCTTTTTGCTCAGCACAAACAAGACATTAAAATGGAAGAACAGAAATATCTTTCTACTCTATATCCAATTAACAGATAACACACAGCTTCTGTTCCTATTTTTTCCAGTGTATGGTTTCTGACATTTGCAACTTCTCTTTCAAACAAATGCAGCCATTGCCCAGGGATAATGTAATCCCAGGAGAAAATGATTATAAATGCAAAAATACTAAAAAGCTACTGAAGAAATCAGAAGAATTTTGAGAATCCTCAAGTTTGCAAATTCAAACACAGAATTAATAAAGGACAAAACAAGGTAACTCGAACCTTATCATATATTAACACAATAGATCTTGTTAATGTACTTATGTTTTTGGCTTCTGATATCCACAGCTTTCTGTAACTTACTGTTCGCTGTACTCAAAATATATTGATTGGAAAAACAGATTCAAACCCAATTTCTCTGATTATCCAAAGCAGTAAATTTTCATATATTGCTTATATTTCTATGGATACATTAATATTGCTATTATTTACTATTGTAGACTATTCTAAATTCTGTATGTTTAAATTGTCTTTTAGAATGCCATTCTGCATTGTTCACTTCCCTTATGAACTATGTTAACTGCTGCCAAGCAGTATTTGTCCTGAGGCCATCCCTGAGTCAGGGCAACTTGTTGTTTCCCCTTCCTGAAGTTGTACAATGAAGTGACTCCACTCAGAGCTTCCCATCCAGGAAAAAAGTTCAATACTAGGGTGTTTAACCCCCTCTTCTAGATGTTTTAAGAAGCACTAAGTTTGAGTCCAGAGTACACATATCAGGTGGATTTGAACAGCACTCAGAAGCACACACTGTGCAGAGAAAGAGATGCAGAATGGAGCAAAACTAAGCACATGAAGTCCAAATTACAGTAATTAATTGAAACAATTTCAGGTGCCACAAAAACTGCAAGCCAGGTAATGAACAAACATGAAAAATAAGGGAAGGAGCCTGAAGCTCAGTAACAGTTGATCACAGCAACATAAGGACAGAGGAACTCCTCCTTGAGCTCTTGGAACTGTGATGGTTCCTTCCCAGATAAGCCACACTGACCCTTTGTATGCAACAAGTGGGAAGAAGGCAATAAATAAGAGCTGAATTTCCTTGGACAGCAGTGTTCTAGCCACAACAGGAACAATTTCCTGGCTATTTGCAATACAAGAAAGAATCCACCTTGGGAAAGCTGTCCAAACCAGTAATCTATCTGTACATTTCCTGAACTGGGAGAAACATAATCTAATTAATCTACACAATTGAGCCTGAAGGCAGTCATTGATTAGGAACACCAATACATAACCAAACGGAAACATAAACCTGCACAGACAGACTATACTATCTTTAAGGAAAAAAGGCAAAAGAACTTTACAACACTTAAGAACTGCTTATTTGCTGCAGAATGGGAAAGATTCAGGATCGTCTAAGTGATGTCATTACTACACAGATAAGATGATTATATCACATAAAATACTTCCTTTTAAAAATCTAGTTTTACAAATTGGCCTTTAGTACTTTTGTGGATTTCTGTCTGCATGAAGATTTTAGAGAAGGAAATTTGTTGCTGAATGGATGGTAAATTTAACAATTATATTTAAGAAAAGGAAGACAGTATTCAGATTCCACCTTCTTCCCTACTACTGTTTCACTTTGTTACCTGTTTTTCCTCAGTAATAGACATTATATTCTCCTACTTTGTAGTTGTAAGTTGGACAGTAAAATTTGCTTTTGAAACCAGCAGTTAAATAACATTTTTACAAACGATTTTATTTAACCTCAATAGCTGTGCAGCTCTAATCCACATTTTTTCAATGTGACAGTGTTTCTGTTTTGTGTTCCATGGGGTCCTTTCACTCCAATAAATGGGACCTTAGGATACACTGTCTACCCTGCAATGCGAAGTGACTATAAATCAGAAGGAACAATTAACAGTGGTATAACATCCCTGGTCTTCACTATGTTTCAAAATTATCATGCCACAGATGTGGAAAGAAATGCTCATTTTACAAATCTCTGTGGCAGATCTTTGCTCGTTAGAAAACATATATGTTCTT